GATATCGCACATGTTTTATCACAAAACCCATGTTTTTATCACAAAACCCAACACCTTGTGGTCTGCTTCTGCAAAGTGATTAGGAATGATTGTGATTGGTGGATCACTGTTAGGTACCCTTAACATTACATGAGAACACGTTGAGTTTGTTTGCCTCTGACAGGACCTGCCGTGTGACTATTATTCATTGCAATGGCAATGCTCAAACGTAAACTCATGTACATGTAGCACAAGTCAGAGTACGAGATATCTGCTATATTTGTTTTTGTTGTGATAGTGATGAATTGCTGCTCTCTATCCTGGCCAACAAGTAGAGGAACGCTAGCCCATTAAGTAAGAAACTGAGCCCGTCAGCAAGAGGTGAAACAAAATCAGTTTTGTGTCTTTTCATCCCACCTTAGTCCAGATGACCACTCATCCGTTCAGCTCCTCTCTGCTGCAGACAATTCATCAAACTCCTGCTATCACTCCAGCCGGAGCTGTCACCTCTCAGAGCCGTCACACAATGATACCAACCAACACCACACCGCATCGCAAGGATTTACAGACAATTGGACTTGACTGGGGCACAACCTCATTTATACAGAGCCACCCACGAGTTAGCCATGTCAGTCTGACATAAAAGAAAGGCTTACTCTGCTGTCTGAGGACTCATATTGTCTGTGATTGTTGCTAAACTCATGAACACCAGCCTGAATGAAGAAGCATCAGTCACATTAAATCCTCCTGACAGGTCATCTTCATGTAATCTTGATTCACCCATCAATCCTGAAGCTGGGAAAATTAAACAAATGTCACATTCCCGTTAAACTACAGCGCTCTTCAAACAGACACCTACGGTGACTGTTTAACTAGCTGGAAAGAGCCTACTTACTTAGCTAACAGTCGATGTCCTCACACCACCTCGTTGGCTATTACAAGCAATGATTTACTCCAATAACATGGCCACCACCTTCTGGTCCGCTTTATTCCTGAATCAATAAAGCCCCGAATGCTGCTTTGAATCCTGCCTCTTTATTACAGAAGTCATAAACGCGTGCACCTGAGAAGGTCTGATTTATTCCCAGCGAGATGAGGACAGCGTTTGAAATAATCTCTAACGTGATCACAGCCCTCGCTGCTGGATTTATTTCACCTTATGCGATGTACATGACGGGGACTTTTATCAGCTTCCTGCCAGGTCACATTTAACACTTCAGCTGATTACTTAAAAATTTGCAAGAAGATGTGCTCTTAAGTCTACTGCAGCATCGTGAATATTCATTAGAGGGAGCTCGAGTTGAGAGGGATTATTTTGTGCCACTCTTAGCAGACATATGATGTTTGACGTGAACATTTTACTGGCTTACAGCAGTTGCTAACTTTGAGACTTGACAGTGACATTTTAAAAAAAACAACAATTTTTGGCACATTGTTCTCTGGAAGAGGCATGCAAAAGAATGAAAAACTCCCTCTTTAAATTTCTGCAACTGTGAACTCATACGGTGGGGCAAAAAAGTGTTCGGCAGCATAAAAGACACCTGTCCACATCTTCAAACAGTCACACTCTAACCTCCACCATGGCCAAACCCAGAGAGCTGTCTAAGGACACCTGGGGCACGATTATAAACCTGAACAAGACTGGGATGCGCCAATCTACAACAGGCAAGCAGATTGGTGAGGAGAGATCAACTGTTGTAGCAATTACTAGAAACAAGATTACTGACAATCTCCCTCGACCTGGGGCTCCATGCATGATCTTATATAGTATAGTAGGGCTGCAGCTATCGAATATTTTTGTAATCGAGTACTCTATCGAATCTTTTTTTCGATTAATCGAGTACTCTAATAAATTACCCTTTTGTGTTTGTAAACCTTTATATCATATATTGATGAGCCAAGATGGCGTCGAGTATGGCTGCCTCGTCGCGAGCTCCACCAAGTTCCAACATTACACGCTCCATACTGTACATTAATGCCACTGTTTTGCACATACCAACCTCTGTACATTTTATATCTCTTATCTTATTGTTTACTTTATTCATTTGTATACTTAGATTAGCCATTTTTATATTTTACTTGTTTTTACATTACTGTATTTTTGCACAACTCTGTTGCTGTGAAGCTCGCACACAAGAATTTCACTCGCATGTACTGTACCAGTGTACCTGCACATGTGACGTGACAATAAAAGTGATTTGATTTGATATCAAATAGCATGTTATAATTATGAAAGACCTCTTAAAATGAGCAAGCAATTGCCAGTTATTCAAGTTTTATTCAAAATTAGTTTGCATAACTTCAGCACTTCAACTTTACTTCACAGTAAACAAATGCCTGTGCAAAAAATAAGTAAACCTGAGCCGATTTTCCCCTCATGCGAGAATCTGCTAGCCTGCAAGCCAGACAATAACTAGGAGGATAACGCTGCGAGCGGCTGCGGCCCAAACAGAACCAGAACCTCTCACGGCGCAAACAGCTCGCCGGCTGTTTCCCTATTAACACACGTCCGTTTTAATTTCTACACTTTTTTTTCTCACACTAACAAGGATTGCCAAAAGCATGTTTGCTGTGGTTTTGTCAAATTATACTGATCACAAAACATTTATTTACTTTCTTTCGTTTTCCTCCGCCACTCATAAATACCCGTGTCCTCCTGCAGAAACCCCGAGGGACAACAGACATCAACAACACAATAAAAAGTCCGACGTGTTGTAAAAACTGCTATTTTTAGCACATTTTAAGTCCGACGTGTTGCTACCAGACGTACGGTGTGAGCTGAAACTGAGCGCTACAAACGAAAAAGTCGCACAGCGTCTGCAGAAAATATAGAAAAACAGGCTAAGATGCATTATCTTGTAGAGGCTCCGAGTCCGCTTGCAGAAGTGACATTTACATGTGCTGCAGCACGGAGGATGTGGTGTTGTGGTGGGCTAAATCCATTTTACAGTATTTAAACTGGACTACGTTTTCCACCTTACGATGTGAAAAATGGTTCCACAACTTTGACATTTTCTGTCTTTTTCGCACTCCACCGGGTTCAAGTTGTCCGCCATGGCTTAAGAGAAAGTTAAGTTACGTTCGCTACTCGCGTGTGCATTCAGTCCAGTGGGTATGTGCGTCACTTATTTCGGTCCGGGTGAAACATGACCCCGGGCGATTGCAAAGCCATGAATTAATTAAATATGAATTAAACGAATCCTCGAGGCAGAGAATTTTGACTCGAGGATTTTTTGTACTCGAATTATTCGAGGTACTCGAGGAATCGTTTCAGCTCTATAGTATAGCGCCTCTCAGAGTAAGGACTCCAAAGCGCTTTACACTACAGTGTATCATTCATCCATTCACACACACATACACACACTGATGCTGATGAGCTACAATGTAGCCACAGCTGCCCTGGGATACGCTGACAGAGGTGAAACTACACGGGAGGCACTGGTCAATGACCTGAGGAGAGCTAAGCCACAGGAACAAAGGTTACTATTAGTAACACACATTGGTTGTCATAGATTAAAATCCTGCAGTGCTCGAAGGGTCCCCCCGCACGTCTAGACTCGTCTAAAGTTAACCAGAGACCATCTGGATGACCTTGAAGATAATCAGGAGAAGGTCATGTGGTCAGATGAGACCAAAATAGAACTCTTTGGTATAAACGCCACTCTCCATGTTTGGAGGAAGAAGAAAGCTGAGTTGCATCCCATGAACACCAAATGCACTGTCAAGCATGGGGGGGGTTTAGGCTTCATTCTGCAAAGGGGACAGGGCGACTGAACCGCATTAAGGAAAGCTTGAATGGGGCCATGTATCGTGAGGTTTGGGGCAAAAGTTTGAAGATGAAACATGGCTGGGTCGACCAGCTGGATCCCAAACACAAAGCATTTCATGGTTCTGGAGGGGCCTAGCTAGTGTCTAGACTGGCTCCATCCAATAGAGAATCTGTGGACAGAGTTTAAAGTCTGTGTTGCTCAGCGACAGTCCCAAATCATCACAGCTCTAGAGAAGATCTGCATGGGAGAATGTGCCAAAATACCCGCTACAGTGTGTACAAACCTGGTGAAGACACTTGAGCTCTGCTATTGCCAACCAAAGTTACGTTAGAGTAAGGAGGTGAACTTTTGTTGTATTTACTTTTTTCTGCACTATTACAGTGATTCCTCGTTTATCGCGTTAGATGCGTTCCAGACCTGGCCGCGATAGGTGAAAATCTGCAAAGTAGGGACACCATATTTACAGTACAGTGTCAGAACCCAAGTTCCCAGGCCAACCTCTTCCAGCTAGCCGGCCTCCACTATGGACCACAACTCCCAGCATGCCCCTCGCGGGGATTCCCTCCACGTCGCACCTACGTCACAAACCGCGGCTATAAACGGAAGTCGCCTTTCCAGCTCACCACTCAGTCATCGTTTCTTCAGATTCATGATCAGAGTTTCCAACCTACCGAGCCATCCCACGAACTATCAGCTCATAGTAAGTTATCTTACTTACTTCTGGAAAGCCCGGCATTTCCGTGTCACTTCGTTGACGCTCGAACGCTCGGGGGTTTCCTAGATTAAATCGTGAGCTGGCGTTTCACCGACGCTCACTTCCGCGTCTGTGAAACCACGCTCCCTACAAGCTCAACTCCCGAATCCAGCCGACCAGTCTGACATACAGTACTATATTGAATTATCGTATGATCACATTCTCTTTTTGTGGGTAAAACTCAAGAAAAAAAAATTACTTGGTTTTTTTATAGTTTTATTACAAAAAGTGCATTATATGATGAAATTGATGAAAAAAAACAGGAATTTCTTGGTATTTCGCATAGAAAAATACCGCGAATCGGTGAAAAATACAGCGAATTTCCCTTGAATAAGACTACAAAGAAAAAATCCACGAAGTTGTGAATCTGCGATAAACGAACCGCGAAGTAGCGAGGGATCACTGTATACAAATAAATTCTTTTTTTTTTAATCACACAATGTGATTTTCAAACATCCCTAATTAAAAATATTTAACCACTCATTGATGCATCATACCTTTGCTGGAGGAAGCCTATGAAAGGAGCAACTCCAGTGCCAGGTCCGACCATTATGAAGGGCACTGACGGATGTGGAGGAGGTCGAAAGGAGCAGTTGGGTCTCAAACTCACATGAATCTAAGATCAGAAAGAAAACATTAAATATTAAGATTAATTTTGGCCAGAAGCAATCGCGGGCTTGCAATAATAATAATTAATCTAAGATGCACTAATGGGGAACTGTGTGAGCTTCAGCTGGACAACATAAAGTCGGTGGTGGAAAATATCTAATTATTTTAATTAGCAACACAAACAATTGTCCTTAAACTAATAGTTGTTTACTGTCTGATATGTTAGTTTAGAGCAGCACATGGAGTAAACATTGTTTAAACCTTTAGTGACCAACACAGCACCAGTTTATCACATTAAGCTACTGAGGGAATTTTCTTTACGGGCATCTTGAAAATATAAAAATGGCAGAAACATGCTGTTTATTACCCATCTGATCAAAATCAATACACACAAGTAGAGTAAGAGAGGGATTTATAAAGCATTATCTGCTGTTTTCAGCAGGGTATATGCAGGAATCTTGAAGTTAAATTTAATACCTTTTCAAGACTTTTTGAAGACCTTCTCAATATTTTTTAATACCTCACCGCCATTTCAAGGTGTAACCATTTAACAGTTATCAGCGATACTTTTAACATTTCGATGCATTTGTAATACGCACCGGGAACACCAGAGCGTACATTGTGGTTTTGAACTTTCGCCCCGCCCGCCCTAGTGCTCTGAGAGGAAAATTACTAACGCACGCACAATACCCTGTTCATTTTTAAAATAAAAATGACTAAATGCACATACTTTTACGATGTTTTAGGGATTCAAACTGTTGGATGGTTAATTCAGAAAAAATAATTTCAAAATTTAAGACTTCATAAAGCTGTGATAAGACTTTTTAATACTTTTAAAAGGGACAATGTGTAGTTTTTACCATTAATTTCAGGAAATATTTATCAAAATGTTGTTGAAAATGAATGAAATGGCACCCAGTTGTTGAAATTGGCAGCTTTGTAACATATAACCATAAAAATCTGGTCTAAAATACATCTGTCTCTGGACGATGCCATATTAGATGCCATGTTCCCTTCTACTGGAGCCCATGAGGACAAAATGCATTTATTTATTTGTAACAAATGGTTACAAAACTTGTGCTACTCTTAAACATTGTTGTTTCACACATTCACCTCTGTATTTGTTGCCAGTGATGAAAGGGAGCCTGATGTGCTCGTTATTTTGCTGAAGTTTGCACTCCCCAGGGCTTTTTGACCCTAATGGGCATCCATTGGGACGTCTTACTCCAACACAAAAATACTGCTTGCTTGCAACGATTTAAGCATCTACTGCCCCCTATTGCCAGGAAAAATACACACTGTCACTTTAAGGGTCTTACTTTTACTAAAATTGATTTATCACCTTTTAGTACTTTTCAAGACTCCGCGGATACCCTGTTTCAGATATGAGCTGTTAGGAAGGACTCTGCAAAAGAACAAAATCTGCTTTTTTCTACTCTCGTTTACCTTTGGCAGAGACGGGATGCTGGAAGACTCGGCCTTCCCGGGGACAACCAGGCCAGGACTGATACGGTCAAACAGCCAGCCGGTACACAAGCCTCGGCGGCCTGCAGGCCTCCCACAGCATGCTGGCAACTCCACCAAGTTGAAGACAAAACATAGCTTTCCTGGGTGCTTAAGACAGGAGCTTCAGTCCCACAAAGGGAAAGGGAAAAAAGAAGTGGAAACATGAGTGTGTGCAGGACATACATACAGAAAGTCACGGGGAGAAAACTTCAAAAGAGTCAAAATTCAAAGAAAGAACGAGAACAGAATGCTACAGCAAGGATTGGTTTTAGAATATAACGTCTTTGATTCTGGAGCATTGTTTCCCTTCTGTAGGCTTTACACGGCTGAAATTCCACCACCCTCAAATGCTGCACGACTAGCACCATGGCTGGAAAAATCTCTAGGGGAAGCACGGTGGAGACATAATTTTACGTTTTTATTACTAACTTTTTTGCTCCAAACTTTACGTTGAGTCATGGTGACTCGTTCCTTTTCCAAAGGCATTACTTAGCGTGACTCAGGTGGGTGCGGTTCGGTCTGGCCGCCTTTTCCAACAGCCCGGTTCAGTATTATCCCACTTCTCTCCCTCTACTTTACATTTCCTGCTTCACTGTGCTTCCTAGCGCACCAACTCAGCCCAGCATCACGACTGTTGGCTGCTGATTGGCTAGGGGGGAGTCACTGGTTGTTCCAGAGTGTTCTGAAACCATTTCCTGGTTCAGAGTCTGACAAAAAGCCATAAAACTGAGCAGAATGTTCAACATCACCACCACCAGTTGATGACTGATATGTCGATATTACGCCTTATTTGCAAGTTAAAATTATCGTAATAACAACAGTGAACGCCGTTTCTGACCCTGAATCAGTCTTTGGGCCCAGACTTTACCCGACTCTTGAATCTTCAGTTTGTGCACCGTTCAGTATTAAAATCAAATATTCTACCAAAGTTAATCAAATAAATGAATAAACTGAACAAGTAAAAAAAGTACAAAACTGGTAAATAAAAAGAAACGTCAGTAGAAAATACTGTTTTGTAGCATTTATTGAGCAGATCTTTTTCAGGAACATAAATATACATTTAAATAAAAGTAAATACAATTTCAGAGTAAAAATTAAAAAATCCGACAGAAAAAAATATATTTTTAAAAACTGTATAAAGCTAAATAAAAACCCAGCTGAAAATGTTAAAAAATCTTTATTTAATTTTTTTTTTTTTTTTTTTTGCTGTTAACTGATCATTCTTCTGTGTAAACTTTAAACCTCATTTCTGAGAGAGAGACTTGAGCCTTCCTATCTGAATATTTGTGCTGGATACTCGTTTCAGCGTAGAACCATAAATAAAAAAAGGGTAAATATCAGTCCACCAGGTCGCTCTGAGCTGAAGGAACAACCAAAGCAATGTGAGAACTTTCCTAAACGAGTGAATTTTTTTTCTTTTGTGGATTAAATCAAGTACATCTGGGTTTGTATTACTAATTTAAAGGTTTTTTTTTACCTTAAACCTAATGTTCACAGTGAATGAGGAGCAGGGACCTTGGATTTGGAAAAGTTTATTATTTTTTATTTTTCCCATTTTTTGGTGTTTAAGGTAATCTGTTGATCCTCAAACATACCTTCTATGTGACCCCTCCCCCCACATTTAAAATACACACAATCACACTTTGACACAACGAACATAAATATAAAAGGACTTACTCCTAACTAGGGCTGCAACAAACGATTATTTGGATAATCGATTAATCGGATGGGGTCTCGACACGATTAATCGATTAATCGGATTACATGGGGAAATTTTTAAAAACTGCTTGGGAAACGTTATTTCTCTCCTTCCTTCACTTATTTTAACACAACATTATTAGAAAACAGTTCAATAGCAGAAAAACAACATGCCATCACCTAAATTGTCTTATAAGGTGTATACAGGTGCTGGCCAGTAAATTAGAATATCATCAAAAGGTTGAAAATTTTCAGTAATTCCATTCAAAACGTGAAACTTGTACATTATATTCATGCAATGCACACAGACCAATGTATTTCCAATGTTCATTACATTTAAATTTGATATTCATAAGTGACAACTAATGAAAACTCCAAATTTGGTATCTCAAAAAATTAGAATATTCTGAAAAGGCTGAATATAGAAGACACCTGCTGCCACTCTAATCAGCTGATTTACTCAAAACACCTGCAAAGGCCTTTAAAAGGTCCCTCAGTCTTGTTTTGAAGGCACCACAATCATGGGGAAGACTTCTGACTTAACAGCTGTCCAAAAGACAATCATTGACACCTTGCACAAGGAGGGCAAGACACAAAAGGTGATTGCTAAAGAAGCTGGCTGTTCGCAGAGCTCTGTGTCCAAGCACATTAACAGACAGGCGAAGGGACGGAAAAAATGTGGTAGAAAAAAGTGTACAAGCTCTAGGGATAACCGCACCCTGCAGAGAATTGTGACGACAAACCCATTCAAAAATGTGGGGGAGATCCACAAAGAGTGGACTGCAGCTGGAGTCAGCGCTTCAAGAACCACCACGAGGAGACTCATGAAAGACATGGGATTCAGGTGTCGCATTCCGTGTGTCAAGCCACTCCTGAACAAGAAACAGCGCAAGAAGCGTCTCGCCTGGGCCAAGGACAAAAAGGACTGGACTGATGCTGAGTGGTCCAAAGTTATGTTTTCTGATGAAAGCAAGTTCTGCATTTCCTTTGGAAATCAAGGACCCAGAGTCTGGAGGAAGAGCGGAGAAGCACAGAATCCACGTTGCATGAGGTCCAGTGTAAAGTTTCCACCGTCAGTGATGGTGTGGGGTGCCATGTCATCTGCCGGTGTTGGCCCACTCTGTTTCCTGAGGTCCAGGGTCAATGCAGCCGTCTACCAGGAAGTTTTAGAGCACTTCATGCTTCCTGCTGCTGACCAACTTTATGGGGATGCAGACTTCACCTTTCAACAGGACTTGGCACCTGCACACAGTGCCAAAACCACCAGCACCTGGTTCAAGGACCATGGTATCCCTGTCCTTGATTGGCCAGCAAACTCGCCTGACCTTAACCCCATAGAAAATCTATGGGGTATTGTGAAGCGGAGGATGCAATACGCTAGACCCAACAATGCAGAGGAGCTGAAGACGACTATCAGAGCAACCTGGGCTCTCATAACACCTGAGCAGTGCCACAGACTGATCGAGTCCATGCCACGCCGCATTACTGCAGTTATTGTGGCAAAAGGAGCCCCGACTAAGTATTGAGTGCTATACATGCACATTCTTTTCATGTTCATTCTTTTCAGTTGGCCAACATTAGAGAAACAAACATTTTTTCATTGGCCTTTAGAATATTCTAATTTTCTGAGATACCAGATTTGATGTTTTCATTGGTTGTCACCTATAAATATCAAAATTAAACGTAATAAACATCGGAAATACATTGGTCTGTGTGCATTGCATGAATATAATGTACAAGTTTCACGTTTTGAATGGAATTACTGAAATATTTTCAACCTTTTGATGATATTCTAATTTACTGGCCAGCACCTGTAGACAGAGACCCTAAGCTACATCTATCTGTGACCTAAAATGCTTGGTCCAAGTTAAACAGCTTAAGGGCAATTCTCATCTGTTTTGTTTGATCTCATCTGTTAACATTTATTTTAAATGTAATTAAACATAGGCTGTGAATTAATCAAAATTGATCACTATTTCCAAAACTGACTGAAAAAATACCAAATAAAACAAAAGTAAATGAATGCCATCCTCCTTGCGATGATGCCCTGGGCAACTGCCATAAAGTCACATCAAGAAATGCTGCTGATCATTCCAATGATCCCAAATAGACTCACATTAGGCCACATGAAAGCAACTGAACCCAAAAATATATTAACCAGTATATAACTGCACTCTCACACAACACGCCTGCAGCAACAGTTAGGACTCCTCCCTCCCTTTTAAAAGCGTTTTTGCTTCTGAGGACATTGTGGTTGTAAAACCACATGCTAGTAGTCTGGCCCCGGTGTGATCAACCAGTTTCTGCGGGAATGTGACGGCGGAACCAGGGCCAGATTAACACTTTGTTGTACCCTGGGCAACAATATTCAAGGGCTCCATCATCACGACCCAAGGATCACCATAATGTGGTCACATACAGAATATTTTACTGTAATATGCAGTAAATATACTCAATACTTGAATGCCTGACAACACGTAACCCGCCCAGAGTAACCTTTGACCCACCTCGTGTGGACTGACCAATGAGGAGAGGGTCTTAACTTGAGGCCCTCTCTTCATTGGTCAGTCTGCATGAGACTGACTCTCAACTGACATTCAGTCGTAGGCAGCGAAGCGTCTCTGTGCAGCGCAAAAGCCCGGGTGGACAGTTTGTTTAATGTAGGGTGACCATATTTCCATTTCCAAACAAGAGGACAGGGGATCTGTGCCTATGACGTCACACTATGGCAACGCCACACAAACCATGTTGGGACCCATTTTTTGTCGTCGTCGTCGTCTTCCTCCGCTTATCCGGGTCCGGGTCGCGGGGGCAGCATCCCAACTAGGGAGCTCCAGGCCGTCCTCTCCCCGGCCTTGTCCACCAGCTCCTCCGGCAGGACCCCAAGGCGTTCCCGGACCAGATTGGAGATGTAACCTCTCCAACGTGACCTGGGTCGACCCGGGGGCCTTCTGCCGGCAGGACATGCCCGAAACACCTCCCCGGGGAGGCGTCCAGGAGGCATCCTGACCAGATGCCCAAACCACCTCAACTGGCTCCTTTCGATCCGGAGGAGCAGCGGTTCCACTCCGAGTCCCTCCCGAATGTCCGAGCTCCTCACCCTATCTCTAAGGCTGAGCCCGGCCACCCTACGGAGGAAACTCATTTCGGCCGCTTGTATCCGCGATCTCGTTCTTTCGGTCATTACCCAAAGCTCATGACCATAGGTGAGGATTGGGATGTAGATCGACCGGTAAATCGAGAGCCTGGCTTTCTGGCTCAGCTCCCTCTTCCCCACGACAGATCGGCTCAGCGTCCGCATCACTGCAGACGCCGAACCAATCCGCCTGTCGATCTCCCGATCCCTCCTACCCTCACTCGTGAACAAGACCCCGAGATACTTAAACTCCTCCACTTGAGGTAGGACCTCTCCCCCGACCCGGA